GCTAGCCTTAGTGTCGCCATCTACTGTCTCACTTAAAAATTTGCTTCTTTCGGAAATTCGTTTTTGTGTGGAATAATTAATTACATTAAGCTTCTAATTTTGACTTTTAATAAAACTGCCAATTCAAGAGTTACAATATACCTAAATCGAATAAAATTAGTGGATTTCTAATTCATAAAATTGAAAAATTAGCTTCAATTATTGAAGAAAGTAATATATACAAATCAAATTAATAACACAAATATGTTATGAATATATACAACAAATAATTAATTACACAAATATGTATGTTGGAATCATTATATATATACCAAGATAAGTCTAATCGAATAAAAATCCAGGGCACATTTAATTCAAATGCATTGATTCAAATTTTAAAACCCCGATAAAAGATGAAGTAAAAAATAAAAAAAAACCTGCATTCCTTTTACATAATAAATCATTTCTGCTGGTTAGACTCAATGAAAAAGCTAGCTGCTCCAAAAAAAGTCGAAAGACAGTGCCACGAAGCAAATACTACTTTTTCCCGTTCATTTGTAAAACTGTCCATCCTGTACTGTCCATCCTGTAAATTGGTGATACTGTCCCTCCTGTAAAACGGACTGTGACGTATGTGTGTGGCAAAGTCATATTCTTTTCTGTAGAGAGCACCACTGAAAAAAAGGAAGCGTCTCTTGTCTTAAGAATTCGCTTGATTTCCAGCGGACATGCTGATATTGGCAAGTAGCATTAGTAGTAACACAACATGAACAGACAACATGAACAGAGTACAAACACTTAAAAAAGGCTAAGTAAAAAAATATGGTCATCATATCAGCTAATAAATGGAGATTTAGCTAAGATCAGTAGTCTCTCGTTATTGAGGACTAATATATTTGGTTGAAAAACCTGCAATAAAATAGAAGATAAAATTTATTCAACAGTAACTTGTATTACTAATTATTTATAATAATCCATATGCGCTATTTAATGTAAATAATTTGTTTCTAAATTATTTTCAAAAACAATTATAATAATTTTTATTTAAAATATAATAAAAGTTTGAAGCAATAAGTTAAATTTGATTTAAAGTTACAGACTTCTGAAATAATGGGTTGCTCTACCAATAATCAAATTATAAGCTTTTAGTCAGATTAGTTATTTAAGATTTAGTGCTAAAAATTAAGATAGTGTATTGAACTTTCAATACTTTTCTGCTTAATGGTACTGTTAGTTAATCTGAACAACTAACCTCAAGCACTTTTACAAGACATGTTTTCATGTCATTCAATGTGCTGTACCTTGGGAATAAATTGCAGTTGTACCTTAGGACGCTTAAGGTACAACACATATAGATACTTTCTAGTAAATGCTTTGAAGAGCTTTACTATTGAACTAGTGGGCTGCTCCCACTGCTCGCTAACGCTCGCCAACCCCCGAAAATCGCTACGCAATCATGTATGGTTTGTTTCGCAAACCAAGCTCGCTTCGCTCGCTACTAACTTAGGTACATTACAAAATTCTAAGAATTCAAAACAATCATTCAAATCCAAATAACAACTTTTTTTTAAAAAAAAATTACATCTTTTTGGTAAATACTAAGTCATTAAAATAAATTTGAATTCAAATAAATGACATGTAATTCGTTAAACCTATTAGAAATGTGCTATAGTATAAAATCTTAAGATATAATTTCTAAAACTGATATCTTTTTAAAAAGGTTAAAATTTTGGCTATAATTAAGTCTTTTAAAAATTGAAATAAGTGAATTGCAATGGAAAAAGCTGCATGAACAAATTAATTCTAGTAAAACAAATAAATTCGTGATATAAATCAAAAATTGTCTAATAAATTCGTAATATATAAATTCGTGAAAAAAAGTGCTTTCGACAAAATTATAAAATAGAGATCTATCGGCAAAGACTACTCACTTCTGCCTAGCTTATGCTCTCTCTGGTTATTTCAGTTTCCGTTTTTGAAAAAGCGCTATATGTTGAGCCATCTCATCTAGATTTGGCATGTGACATTTTTAGCGGCAATCATTGGTCGATTTTCTAGCGTTGCCATTCGGGGAGTTGTAATGAGACTTTTTTTTGTCGCCGTGTAAGAGAAATATAAATATAGATTGCTGAATGTCATGGTGAAGTATTTGTTATAAGCTGGAAAATTTAGATGCTTTTTTTGACTGGCGAAGGAGATAATGAAATGTCCATGCAATAATTAATCAAAGAATTGTCGGTAGAAGAAATGATTTTGTATCCATTTATTATGATTTTGAATAACGCGAAATTAAAAAATACGATTATATT